TTCCCCAAGAATTTTGTCTGAGCCAGAGCCGTTGTGCAGCGTTACTTGCCCAGTGTATGCCGCAGCTTGCGAGGGAGGGTGCTCCGCTGGGCCCAAGAGCTGCCGGCCTGGGGCCTGCCCCACCAGCTGCCTCAACGGTGGTGCAACCGCCTGACTGCTGCCTTCTCTTTATTTTTTTCCTTTCCTCGTTGTCTGTCACTGAGTGGCAGCAGGGCTTGCCTGCTTCCCGCAGAGCAGGCAGAGGTGGCAAGGGGGCTTCTAGCCGCAACACGGAAGCTGGCGGCAGTTTCTGTGGGCGGTGGGCATGTCCCTGGGTTAGCCACTTCATGGACGCCTGCAGGACTGTCTCTGTAGAAGTCTTTCAGTTTCTCTTTTAGCCAAAACAAATCTGTTTGCTAGCACAGAAATCACAAAAGGTTCTGTTTTATTTGAAAGCTTGTGTAACTGAGAGGGAAGAAATATATTTGAAGAATTTTTTGTGCTGTAATAATAGTGCATGTTTTTGTCTCTTTCTCTCAGCACTGCAAAGTACAATATAATCACATTCCTGCCAAGGTTCCTTTATTCCCAGTTCAGAAGAGCTGCTAATGCATTTTTTCTTTTTATTGCATTACTTCAGGTAAGATCAACAGTAAGATGCTAATGTTTGAAACTTGTTGAGAGAGCATTTATGCCATAGACAGTGTTTTGCATCTGGCATCTCGGGCTAATGTAGTGGTCCAGCAGCATTTCTTATTGTATCACTGTGTGCATCAAGCTAGCAGACACAGAATGTGGGGTTTCAGAAGCTGTTTGAGGCTTGGCATGACTAGGTGAGAGGCTGGCAGGTAGGGGTGTGGCATGTTAGGAAGTGGAATGTTAGGACTTACAAGCCCACCATCTCCTGTCAGGCTATCAGTGAGATCTCAGTGGCAGGAGTAAGAAATACAGGGTAATGGAACCAGATTATGGGCTGGTGCCCCTTTTGCTTTCATATTTTGCCTGGAAAATAATGTGTCATTGGAGTGGGGGAGTTTGGGCATACACGTAGGGAAGAATGAAAGGGTAGGAATAGCTGGAGAAGTGATAGATCCCTTTCCATTGTAGCCAACACATAGGCACTTGCCCAACAGTAACTTTTTCTGCCTGGTTTCCATTTAATTGCTTGAAAAATGTGTGTAGAGTAACCTGGAAAATAGATCTATATTGGTCTTATTCCAAGAAACATAGCATATGTACATATAACATCCTGTTTTCTTTCAGAAGCACAATGTGGTGGTAGCAAAAAGAAATTTATATAATTCATAAATAACATTGGCTGTTTTTCAAAACGTTTTATGATAAATTGAGGATGTCTTCTAACCACATTGAGGCACCACTTATTAGTGTACTTTTTTCTTGCAGAGATCTCACTGTAGTCATGTGGGCTGCATTGCCCATTATAAGTCTGCTATAAGGCAGCAATCCTCTCACCTATCAATGTTGTTGCCATTAAGAACTCTAGCCAATATGAAGATAATTATGGATAACCACTCATGTATATCACATAAGTAGCTGCATCTTCTCAGCATTTGCTTTACATACACATTCGCTTGCACCATCTGTGCCCATACCCACTTAGCAAAAATGCGTTTCTTACAATAGTCTGGCAGAAAGCAGCTGTTTGAAATTCGTCAATTAATAACTAGTATGATACAAAATATCTCTTAGAGATTAAAACTGTAAGGAAGTAAAAATATCTTGCATGTTTCCACTTTAACACAGATCTAAACTGAAAAAATTAATTGTATTTTATAAATACGTATTTTAATTTAATTTGAAACACAGAAAAGGAAGGTGAATATTCTGCAGACACCAAAACCTCTGAAAGTAACTCCACTGAATTCTATGCTATTTAAAATGCAAATATTGTTTTATTGTATCAGCTTCTTTTGGATTGAAGACAAAAACCCTCACTTGGAAATAATCAGCACCATGTCTAAAAAGTGAATCCAGTTGCCTTGTCTGTATTTGCACAGGAAGTACTGCTTCTTATATTAAAAATATGTTTTCAACCAGCAATGCAAACAATTTTTTTCTCTCTTTTTGATAGCAAATACCAGATGTATCACCAACAGGCCGTTACACAACGTTGGTCCCTCTCTTATTTATTTTAGCTGTAGCTGCAGTGAAGGAGATAATAGAGGATATTGTAAGTATTTAATAGCAATATTTTGTAAATAGCTTTCAAATTTTTCCTAGATTATTCAAGAAAATTTTTGTAATATAATTCTGTGTTGACCATTCTTGCCTTCTGGATGCTTTTGAAAACTTCTGAATTTGCTTGCTTCAGAAGATGAAATCTTCAGAATATGGTGTTATGATTTGAAAGTGTGTTTACTGTATATACAAGTGACAATAACATGGTAAAACAGTGACTGTTGTGTTTATTATGTAGATTGTTTCTAGTCAAACAGTTCTCATTAATGAAGTACAAGCATATTTTAAAGTGTGAACTGGAACCAAAGACTCCACAGAACCTAGTCAAGTCCAGAATATTGCCAATTTTCTCAAAGAAGGGCTCCGCTAAAAGAAGATTGGAAGCTAGTGAATTCATCTCAGGTGGAATCTATTTTAAAACCAAATAACCTTTAAATATTTATTTGGTTTGAAAAACATTTTTCTTTTTTTTCCTTCTTGCATGAGCAGGAGCAGAGTCCTTTACTCTCACTAATTATACCTGTGAGCTGGATTTAAGTTCAATCTGTGATTGAGATACTACACTAACATTTTATAGAAAAATTGTGAGAACTTCTGGCTTTACTCACAATGAAGAGGGTAGGGTTAAAAAAAATCTTCCCAGGATCCTTTCTATTTTTACATCTTTATTTGAGATGCCTTTAAAAAAGATGAGCCCTGAGGAACTCAGAGTTGAGGATCTAGGAGGCTGCACAGTCTCAAGCATCTTCACTTGTCCTCCATACCTGAAACTGGATGGATTTTTGTTTCACAACCAAATAATTCCTGGACCTTTCTAAAAAGTGTCTTTTAGCTTGCTACTGGAATTATAACATGACACTTTTAGTATGTTTAGAATAGTAATCTATTTGGTTTAATACATTTTAGATGAATGAGTACAGGTCACTAATGTGTCATTTTTAAAGTTTTAAAAAGTGGATTTTCCCCAGTTGTCAAATCCAGGTCCAAATCCAGGTCCACTTTATTTCTAAAGTGACATGCATAAAATCCTTGGTTTCATTCACTGTTGTGACTTTGCACGGTTTTGTAGACAGCAAGGGGAACAGGCATTTTTCAGTTTTTCCCGTTGCTCCAGCCCAGTGCAATTTACTGTTAGTCTTCCATGTCTTGGTGCTAAGTGTGATCTGCTGACACCTGATGGCCAGGAACACACATGGAATGCTTGTCCGTGTTAGGCAGCTGCCCCCACCTATGCCAAGCCTTCCTTGGCTCTCTTCAATCAATGTTTGTGGTAGTGGTTGTTTTGCTTTCTTCTTGCATTGAATGAAAACTTTAAAAGAGCTGGGATGGCATTGGCTTTTTGGG